AATCAGTGGCAAGGAGAAGATCTTATCAAGCGACGGAAGAAGAGCTAGAACAAGGTAATATGTTCTATACTTTTTCTTTTTTTGAGGGAATGTTCTATACTTGTTGTTGGGTTCAAGAGAAGTTGTGTTCTATGGTTATTGATGGAGAGATAAAATCCAATTTGAGCTGTTCAAGGGCAGTAGCTAAGTTAAGGCTAACTACAAAATGACATCCTAGCCCTTTCTTTAATGCAATTGTCGATGGAAAAGGCCTGGGTTTTTGTGACTGAACAAGTGTCTTTGGAGATCAAAATCGGGTCTTATGTGGATCATATCAACAAAGAGTCTGTCGAGCATCCGTATAAAAGCATTTGGAAAGCACTAGTGAGCTTTTGGTGGGGGGATAATGAGTCGCGACCTGTAGCATCTTTGGATTGCTTGAAGTATGCATTGTACTGAATAACATCATTCATGACTCGATTGAATAAGGTAGGGGGCATCTAATACCTCCTTCTGAAGGCCCTAGCATCGTAGGTTGGATTTGGGCTGAAGTAATCTTCCATCAAGCGCTTGTGGTCGTTTTCCTTGTTACGTCTCACTTATTTTCGTGATGATGAACTTCCTCGAGATGAAGTTTCTTGATGTTGGTGAGGATGGTTTATGTACATTATGAACATCTGTAGACGTTCACGCTCAATTGGCACTCATACTCTCATTGTCTATCATAAGCTTCTCTATCAGGCAAATCCATGAAGGGGAAAGAGTTTTGGTGGTTAGAAAGATGTATGAAGGGAAGGTTAAATGGTAGATGAGCAGAATGATCAAGTTTGGGAGTTCATTTATAGAATCACGAAAATGATTCCTTCTACAATAATATGATGAAGTTGGAAGAACAGTTGATGGCACAACTCAATATGATTAAAGTTGGATGAATAGTTGATGGTACAACTCATTATGATTAAAGTTGATTGAACAGTTGATGACACAACTCAAACTGACAAACACTGGATGATTACTTAATAGCACAACCCAATCTGACAACCATGTGATGAATCTTTGGCTATACGAACCTATCATTGTGTTCGTCATTGATGACGTCATATTGAAGTTTTTTTTATGTCCACATAAAAAATTACATCAAAATGTTCGTTTTCATTAATTATAACTATCTGTATAAATATAATTCACAAATTATGTATTTAAGATAATGAAATTTACACTAAGAGAGATTAGCAAAAAAAGGCAAATTTGGAACTTTTGGCTTTCTAGAACTCATCATTGGATCAAAACTACTTTTGGTGGGGTTAGAATGGGGATGACAACGTAAAGCAGTTTTGATTTTACACATACCCATACCCATGTAAGAATCGGGTAGAAAATCAAAAGCATTCCCATACCTGTCAGTGGCGGAGGCAGCCCATTAGTGGGTGGGTCACAGGACCCACCTTGGGCTTGAACATGAACGGTAAAAATATACACATGTGGGCTTTGAGTCTTTGACGCTTGGCCCTCTTGAGAATTGGATTGCGTTCTTCCACTGAGCTACACAAAACTATTTAGCCTGTATTTGGCCCGGCTTTTAGAAGTGCTTTTCAAGTTCAAAAGCTGAAGCAGGGCCAAACACATCTAAAAGCTCGACTTTTGAAAAGCCGCAAAGCGCTTTTGTATAACATAAAACCAGAAGCTCCGATTTGGTGCTTCTGCGAAAAGCTGTTTTGAAAATACTAGATTTTTTTTTTCGTTGAATGAAAATACAAGATTATCCTTACCATATTTTAATTTTATTTCAGAAAATATAATTTTCTTTCATTTATATCATTTTAAAAATAAAATAAATTATAAAATCATATTATTTTATATAAAAGAAGTCTAATAAGATCCATTTTGACTACATTTTATTGTTTAGAATTATTATTCATAATTTATATTATAAGTATTTTATAGTCAATTTATAATGGACAATAGGAGGTTTACAGTATGAATTATTTCGTAGTAATGCGACATCCAATCACACACAGTCAACAATATCTATATGAAGATTGCAGGCCTAGAACATAAGAACCCGCACAACCTCTTATATTAAAAAGCACTTCTATTAGTTTTTCAGCCAAACACTCAACAGCTTTTTTTGGGTTAATACCTTAGTTTGGCCCGAACTATAGACAAACTTTCTACTTTGGCCCGTGGTATCGGAAATTGCTATCCTGGCCTGAACTATGTAGCATACATCCTAATTTGGCCCGGAGCCGGGTTTGACCGTCAAATTAGACGGTCAAACTCGTTGACTGTTAGTCAATGTCCACCTCACCTGCCACGTCAGCTATCATGAAATAAAAATTTATTTTTTAAAATTTCCGAATTTTGTTCTTTCAATTAACAAAAATAATAAACACCTGTCAAAAAAATAATAATAAACCAAATAATTAATTAAAGAAACAAAAAAATAATAAGGGCACAGTCCTCAGCTGCAACACAAGCTTCAGTCGAGCAGTCATGGCCCCTGTTCCATCCCCCTCCTCCATGTTCCTCCCCCAAGTCTCAGAATCTGCAGACCCACCACCGTTAATGGAACCTTGCCTATTGCGTGACAACTACCTCTCTGCTCAACAAATATGTCGCAAAATTTCCTCGGCTCAACCCGGGCTTATTGGACACCCACCTACTAGCCTCGTCGACTTTCGATTGAGATTCAAAGAACGAAGAGCCCCTATCCCTATCTCTTTCCCTCCTGTCAAACTCATCCGCGCGGGACGGACCTTGGGGTTCCCTTTCCCTGCTCGAATCCCTATCCCTAGGGCCGGAAGAATTATTATCCCTACCCCAACGCGAATTAGACGGTCGTCATTCCGGTAACTGTTCATACCATGGGATCTAAAGCCGTCGCCGTGAATCTGGTCGAGCTCCTCCGCCGAGATAGGCGGGGAAGGATTATTACTTCCCGACTGTTCAATTCACACCAACCGGCCTATTTGAGCGCGGCCATAGCATCTGGGGGAGAGGGTTAGAGTTTTGAGTTAGAAGAAGAGAAGGCGAATCGAAGGGGAAGGGAGAAGGAGGAGCCCAACAATCAGCGACGGCGGCGTCTTTAACCGACCGACCACCGCTGCGTTTGCCGGAGAATCAATCCAAAGGAAATCGTCGAGGAAGGAAGTTTCGGGGGGAAGACGATGGGTCTGGAATGGGTGAAGGGAATTATTTCCCGATGTAGGCCTTCACGGGAGGATAAGGGAAGAGGGGTTGGGCTAATTTGGGTATTTTTTGTTTTTTTAATTAATTTGTTTGGTTTTTTTACATGTGTTTATTATTTTTGTTAACCGAAAGTAAACAAAATTCGGAAATTTTTTAAAATATAATTTTTTATTTCATCATAGCTGACGTGGCATGTAAGATGAAAATTGACTAACGGGCAACGGGTTTGACCGTCTAATTTAACGGTCAACCCTGGCTCCGGGCCAAATTAGGATGTATGCTACATAGTTCAGGCCAGGATAGCAATTTCCGATACCACGGGCCAAAGTAGAAAGTTTGTCTATAGTTCGGGCCAAACTAAGGTATTAATCCTTTTTTATAAGTACTTCTCTAAAAGATCAAACTAGAAACTGCTTATGCAAAAACTACAGTAGGGCCAAACTGAGCCTTAATATGTACCCAATGTCATTTATTTTTAATATATTTTAATGCAGTTAAAGCATAAAAAGAATCCCAAATCCCAACAAATTATTTATTATTGAATTGGATTGACTTCTCTCACTGAGCTACACAATACTATTCCCTAATGGCCTAATCAATTGCATACTTAAGCTAATTAAAAAGCTAACTTGCTAGATAGAGAAATGGTTGTATCAACAAATATAGAAGGTTTTCATTGGTGTATCGACTTCTGAAAATTGTGTTGTTAGTATGACTTCTTAAATTGGCGTTATTGGTATATGATGCCACTTCAAGTGTTGAAAGAGCATTTTTACAATGAACTTCATGAAGAACACACTTCCGAATTGGATGAGAGATTAAATCATGAATAAATTTTTGGTTAGTTACACTGAGAGTGACATCATTTAGAGTTTGGATGATGAATGTATATTACATAATTTTCATAATATGAAAATACGTTGTGGATCATTACAAAACATTAATATAAGTTATCTTATGATTTTGTTTTTATCGTTGGACCCACCTTAGCAAAATTCCTGGCTACGCCACTGATACCCGTTCGGGTTTTGGGTATCCACTATTATCCATGATAATAATTTATCTTTATAACTTCAACCAATGTGTTAACGTCCACACATAGATTCACGTATATAGGAGGTAAGAAGAAATTACACACAATAAATGACTAGAATGAAGAAAATTAATTAAAACAACACAATTTCATGAAAATATTATATTTGTGTGTTAAATATAAAATTTGTTAGAGAAAAATAATGATTATTTTTAGAAAAATACATATGATGTGCCATGTGTATAATCGGGCAGGTTCGGGTTAAATATTGAGAAAACCATGCTCATCTATTACCCGCAATATTTGGGTTTGGGTTTTGCCCGTATTCACTAAAAATCTTTCGGGTTCGAGTTTTATCCTACCCGATTAGGTCTGATTCGGACGAATATCTACGATTACTAGTATTTTTGCCATCATAGAAAGCCAAATCTAGCCCACAATTTAGATTTTTAATATTTTAGCTTCCCATTGGAGATGGTCTAAGGTTCTGTAAGCATATCAAAACTAAACTAGAATTGAGAATCCGATCTCGTCTTATCGACTCATCACTTCTCTAATTTGTTACAGCAAATGGATGAAGACAGCTAGGGTTTGACAGAGGGAAGAAGAAGATGAAAAATGGAAATGAGCTATCTGGAGAGGAAGGGATAACACGATTCTCTCCAGAACAAACAGATCAAGTAACGGGCTCGGCCTAGATGCTATATAACCGGCCCACTAAATAACTTGAATAAGAAATAGAATTATTTGGCCCATGTTTTAAGCCCACCCGCACAGCTCTGGAACTCGAAAGAACACGGCCAATTTTAACGAGGTTCCCAATCTACTGGTCACTCCTCGTCCTAGACTCAGTACTTCACTGAGATCTAGGGGACTCTTTTTTTTATTTGATTTTTTCCTATCAAGCAAAATGAAACAATGACAACACAAAGGTAGAAACAACAAGAGTATTCAACCCGGATCCCGATCCCAGACCCGTTACACTATCAATCAAGCAGAACCTTTTCCTCTGTTGATTGACCCAGTTTGTAAGCAGCCCTCTACCACCCTTACAAAAAGTACATTGCTCGCTGAAGAACCATTGATTTATATAGCCTTCAGAATCCTTCCCGACCGTTGCCTTTGAATGTTGAAGCTGAATGAATATGGAAGCTTGAGCTGTCTCTGGCTGTCTTCTTTCTTCTTTTAGAGCAATCCTGATTTGGTAACTTTATTCAACAATCTCCCCTTAAATCAGAGATTTCCGATTGCCTGCAAAACAGAACATACCTTCTCTCGACCAGAAGCAAAAAGCATTTCAACAAAATTCAAGCACTAATCGAAAGAAATATGTCAAGGTCAACTAATACCATCCAAAAGAGACAACCATTCAGACGACATTAAAGCAATCAAAAGTCCAATCCAAAAGAAACAGACAAAGCGACTCTCAAGCCCAAGTTCAATCCGAAAGAAAACAAACAAAGCAACTCTTAAGCTCCCCTTGAAGAGGACACACATTAAGAGCTCTCTTAAGCAACGTCGGTGACATCATCCGAGCCATATTCTAACAGAGCCTGAAGAGCTTCAACAAACGGTTCTAGCCCAGGGCCATCATCAGAGCTTCCACTGCTGCTACTGTCATCGCTGCTTACCCAGACCACATCATTCTCCCCTTCAATAGCATTCTCCCCTTCAACGGCAATCTCCAGATCATCCAGAACATGGTAAGCGAGAGGGTAGAGGGAGGGCGTCACAGTGAGGAACGGAGAAAGATGGAGATGCAGTTCAAGGAGCAAGGATGTGACCAGAGGACCGAAGGCAAGAGGACCAGTAAGGGAGGCATCACTGAGGCGCAAGAGACTGCCAAAGACCAGATGAGCATAGTCGAGAGGCACCCCATGAACAGCATGAGATATAATCCAAAGATCCAGTGGGAGCACTAGATCCAAGGATTCAGCACGAGGGACAAAAACTCGAGTGATGCAATAGTGAAGCAGCCGAAGTGAGGGCAAAAGTGCAGAGACAGGCATGAACAAGTCAGGGGCAGGCAACACACCAGTGAGCTGGTGGAACTCATCAGCATAGTGAAACGCAAACTGCTCTAGTTCTGAAACATCAGCAAGAGCTTCTCCAACTCGTGGAATATGAAGAGTATCTGAGAGATCATCAAGATGGAGAGTGAACAGATGGCCGAACACTATGGATGAGAAAGAGCGGGAAGCCAGCCCGGGGGAACGAAAGTTTGAAAAGAAGTATCTGACGAGGTCAGGGCAGATGAGAGAGGAAAAAGGCTGATCAAGGAGGAATTCCCATCCCAAGTTGCGAATAAACCCATGAACATCAAGCCCCAATTCCACGAGTTGAGGAAAAGGGACATGATAAGAGGGAAGAAAGGGGCGAGAAGCAAAACTTTGGATATGAAGGTGATAGTTGGAGGGCATTGGTTCAAAGAACAAAGTACCCGTGTAGGTAACAGCGAAGACCATTTTGATAGGGGAACAAGGAACACTCAATGAAGGTATGCAGGAACTGGAGAGGGGGATCAACGCTTAAATACCCGCAGACAGACCCAAACGAGGAAACGGAATAAATGCAGGAATTTAAAGAGAATCAAAGTAAATGAGACAAGTAACGATGCAGTGCTAACCCTAGACTCAACAGGAAAGAAAAGAAAATAAAACAAGGAAACAGGAGCAGCCATTTATGTCTCAAGAATCTCGGTTAGAGATGCTAAAGATCTCAAACCGATTTCGAAACATAAAAAGGTAAAACGATCAGCAGCCAAAGGTTTTGTAAACAGATCCGCCAGTTGTAACTCTGTGGGAATATATTGTAAGGAAACTATATTATCCTGTACCAGATCTCGTATGAAATGATATTTTACTTCTATATGCTTGGTACGAGAGTGTTGAACAGGATTTCTAGTCATACTAATGGCACTGGTATTATCACAGAATAGGGGAATTGTAGACGTTGATAGACCATAATCAGCTAATTGATTTCTAAGCCATAATAATTGAGTGCAAGAACTACCAGCAGCTATATATTCTGCTTCAGCTGTTGAGAGAGCAACAACACCTTGTTTTTTACACGACCAAGATACTATAGAAAGCCCAACAAACTGACAACTACCTGTAGTGCTTCGCCGATCAGTAAGGCTGCCGGCAAAGTCGGAGTCACTATATCCCATAAGATCAAACATATCTTGTTTGCTATACCATATACCAACATCTGGTGTGCCCTTAATATATCTAAAAATACGTTTAACAGCCGTTAAATGACTTTCCTTTGGTTGTGACTGAAAACGCGCACACAAACAGACACTGTGTTGTATATCAGGCCTGCTGGCCGTTAAGTATAGCAGAGAGCCGATCATGCCTCGATAAAGGGATTCATCAACTGGAGTTCCAGTCTCATCCTTATCTAATTTAATGTTAGTCGCCATAGGAGTGGGACTTGAATTCAAGGCAGTCATATCGAATTTACTTAGCATATTGGATATGTACTTTGATTGATTGATGAAAATCCCATGAGAAGTTTGTTTGACTTGCAATCCTAAGAAGTATTGCAATTCACCCATCATGCTCATTTCAAACACCGTTTTCATGGAATCACAAAAATCAGAACAAAGTTTCTTATTTGTAGAACCGAAAACTATATCATCAACGTAAATTTGAACAATCAGAAGGTCATTCGACACTCTTTTAGTAAATAAGGTCTTATCCACACTACCTTGTACAAAGCCTTGACTTTTAAGAAAAGTGGTCAATCGCTCAAACCAGGCTCGAGGAGCCTGTTTGAGACCGTACAAGGCCTTGTTTGGTTTGAAAACGTGATTTGGAAATTTATGGTCTATGAACCCTGGAGGTTGTTCAACATAAACATCCTCATGGATAACACCATTCAGAAATGCACTCTTCACATCCATCTGGTAAAGCTTAAAATTCATATAGCTAGCAAAAGCACACAATAATCGAATTGATTCAAGACGAGCTACAGGAGCAAATGTTTCGTCGTAATCAATCCCCTCTTCTTGCAAATAACCCTGAGCCACTAGTCTAGCTTTGTTGCGGATAATAATACCCTCTTCATTAGATTTATTTCGAAACACCCATTTGGTTCCTAGAACAGTAGTATCTAAAGGACGGGGTACTAGATCCCAAACATGCAGATAATCAAATTGATTTAACTCTTCAGTCATAGCAATAGACCAACCATCGTCTTTTAAAGCATCCTTGTAATTTTTAGGTTCTACTTGAGAGATGTAGGCATACTGACCTGGGGTATATCTGTTTCCTCGAGTTTGAATCCCGGCATTAATGTCTCCTATAACTTGTTCCATCGGATGGCGTTTCTGAATATATGGAGGGGCTGCAGATTGGGATTCATTGATGATGTTGTCTCCCTCTGGTTGCTCATCACTCACTGTACCAGAGTTCTTATCTTGGGATGCTTGCAGATTATTTTGCCTTTCGAGTAAGTCATCGGCAGCATCCTCTTTATCTACTGTTTCTCTAGTTAATTCCAGCAAATCGAATGACATTGAATCCTGTTCAGACATCTTGACAGCACTGTTAGAGTCATTAAACTTGACATGAACTGACTCTTCCACCTTTTTTGTCCGTTTATTATAGACACGATAAGCCTGTCCTCTTGTAGAGTAACCAAGAAAAACAGCTTCATCAGACTTGACATCAAATTTGCCTAGATGCTCCTTAGTATTAAGGACAAAACAAGGGCATCCGAAAGGATGAAAGTAACTGATGTTAGGTGCTTTGTTTCTAAAGATCTCATAGGGAGTTTTCTTTAGAACTTTTCGAACAAGCACACGATTTAAAATATAACAGGCTGTGTTGACAGCCTCAGCCCAGAAGAATTTTGGCAAATTGTATTCAAGAAGCATGGTGCGGGCACATTCAATAATAGTGCGATTTTTCCTCTCAACAACTCCATTTTGCTGGGGAGTGCGAGGGGCTGAAAAACTATGAGTTATCCCAGAGTCATTACAAAGACTCTCAAACTCTTCAGACACAAACTCACCACCATTATCACTTCTTATGCTCCTAAGTTGACCCAAATATTGTTTGACAAACACTTGAAATTTCTTAACTGCCTCATCCTTGTGGGTCAGAAAGAAAACCCAAGTATACCGAGAATAATCATCAACTAGAACTAAAACATAATTTTTACCTCCCAAGCTAGTCACAGTGCATGGTCCAAACAAGTCCATATGAACTAGTTCAAACACTTGCGGGGAAGTTATATCAGTTTTAGACTTGAAGGATTTCTTGGTATGTTTTCCAGCAACACAGACTTCACAGAAGAAATCAGTTTTTTTGCTTCAACATGGGAACACCTTTGACACACTCTGATTTAGACAAGCTTACCAGTTTAGGTAAGCTAATGTGTCCCATCTTACGGTGCCACAACAGCTCTTCTTGATAAGAAGCAACAAAACACTTTTCATGAAAAGCTTCAAGATTATGTAAGTCTATAACATACATATTATTAACCCAATTCCCTACAAACAGAATCTTGCTGTCATTTATTCTTTCAACCAAGCAAGCATCAGATTTAAAAACTATTTGATTTCCATTGCTGCAAAGTTGGCTTATTGACAGAAGATTATGCTTTAGACCTTTTACGAGAAGCACATCACGAAAAGCAGGATAAGGGGACCCTCCTACAGTGCCAATTCCCACAATATGACCACATCCATTATCACCAAAAAGAACTTTACCACCATCCTTAGGAGTAAGAGAGGAAAACAATTCTTTCTTACCAGACATATGGTGTGAGCACCCGCTGTCTAAATACCATTTATGATCATTTTCACCTGAAGAGTCGACTTTTGGTTGATCTGAGCTCGCCATAAAAGCTTTTTCATCTGCTGGATTTTCTTCTTCCTCGGAGTCATAGTCACTCCAGGAGGCCTTCATCGCTCTTTCCTTTGCTTTCAGGGTCATTGGACAGTTTGCCCGAATGTGGCCATTCTTGCCACACTTATAGCATGCTTGAGGATCTTTCTCCTGTGTACCTGACTCAAATTTCCTGGTCTGCTGATAAGGCAGCCTAGCTTGAGAATAGTTATTAGTATAATCCTGCCCTTGCTTTCGTGATTCATCAGTTCTCAATTTTCTTTCATTTTTATATTGCAACATGCGATGAATCACTATCGGATTCCTGAGAAAGTCTGCCTCTGAATCACTATCGGATTCCTGAGTAACAACCTTGGATTTAAAAGCTAAGTTTTTCTTTCTTTTATCATCATCCTGATTCACCTGTCTAATCACATTTTCATGACTCAGTAAGGACCCTATTAATTCGTTAATAGGCAGGGTTTCTAGATTTTTAGCTTCCTCAATAGCAGTACGCTTAGGGAGCCATTCCTTAGGTAACGACCTAAGAATCTTCCTGTTAAGATCTTTAGTTTGAAAAGTTCTTCCTAACCCTTTCAGCTTATTGATCAAAACAGTGAATCGTGAGTACATTTCATGAATACTCTCATTGTTAATCATACCGCAAGCCTCATATTCATGAATCAATAAATCAATTCGAGACTCCCTGATATTAGACGTACCTTCATATGTACTTTCCAGAGCTATCCAGATTTCTCTGGCTGTTTCACAGTTTTCAACTTGGTCAGCTTCATCTGGATTCATGGCCGATTGGAGCACATGCATCGCCCGTTGGTTCAGCTGCGCACTCTTCTTCTGAGCGGCTGACCATAGATGCTGCTCTTCCACTTTGGCATCGATTGGGCCATCCTGTACAATCAACCACAAATCTTCATCCATACCCCACATAAACTGTTTCATCCTTTTCTTCCATGCGGTATAGTTTGAACCGGTGAAGATAGGAGGATGATTTAATGCGGCTTGGCCAAAAGAAGAAGAAGCCATTTGATCGTTGCCTTGGCAGGAGCTACCTTCCTCAAGGACCTGCTCTGATACCAATTGTTACAGCAAATGGATGAAGACAGCTAGGGTTTGACAGAGGGAAGAAGAAGATGAAAAATGGAAATGAGCTATCTGGAGAGGAAGGGATAACACGATTCTCTCCAGAACAAACAGATCAAGTAACGGGCTCGGCCTAGATGCTATATAACCGGCCCACTAAATAACTTGAATAAGAAATAGAATTATTTGGCCCATGTTTTAAGCCCACCCGCACAGCTCTGGAACTCGTCTTCTTCGTTGAGAAGAAACAGAGTTTCTGAAGCAGGGGAAAGTGCAAACCAGAGTAAAGTGCGAAAATGAAGAAGAAAGCAATCAACAGGAAATCGAAAGAACACGGCCAATTTTAACGAGGTTCCCAATCTACTGGTCACTTCTCGTCCTAGACTTAGTACTTCACTGAGATCTAGGGGACTCTTTTTTTTATTTGATTTTTTCCTATCAAGCAAAATGAAACAATGACAACACAAAGGTAGAAACAACAAGAGTATTCAACCCGGATCCCGATCCCAGACCCGTTACACTATCAATCAAGCAGAACCTTTTCCTCTGTTGATTGACCCAGTTTGTAAGCAGCCCTCTACCACCCTTACAAAAAGTACATTGCTCGCTGAAGAACCATTGATTTATATAGCCTTCAGAATCCTTCCCGACCGTTGCCTTTGAATGTTGAAGCTGAATGAATATGGAAGCTTGAGCTGTCTCTGGCTGTCTTCTTTCTTCTTTTAGAGCAATCCTGATTTGGTAACTTTATTCAACATAATCTTCACTTGTTTTTCCTTGCCGAGATAGGGTATCTTAGAAAAAAAGTTAACGAGGAATCCGGAAGGAAAAACGTGTAATCGGTCTCGCATCGCACTCGAACCGACTACAATATTCTCCATGCAAATGCAATGCAACTGAGAGAGAAAACATTTCCTCTTTTCGTTAAGTTTCAAATGCACAATTATACTCCAAATTCAGAACTCTATGAATTAATAAATGATCATTCACTCCAGAAAAGGCCAAAGGGACAGCAAGCTAGCTGACGGTGAAGATCTCATCTGAGAAGTTTTTTATTTGTTAAGATGCAAACAACCCACCGCAACCACAAAATATGGACAAAAGAAAGCATCCTCCAGAAACACACAATTGACTACTATATTATTATTATTTAATTTGCAAATGAAGAAAGAAAGCTGATCAGGTATGGAGAATGACTTGGGTTGGGAGGTAGGATTAGGAAGGATGAGTTACCTTACAGTGAAAGCTAAGCAGTCTTGCGCGGATCAATGTCCGAACGAAACCCAGCCGCCAGATCTCCCTTCTCCCACCAACTCATCTCAAATATTCCCTCCTTTCTCCACATCTTAAAATTTGGCCTCCTTCATTGCCGCTTTGGCTGGCTCACCTAATCAAATCCTTCCTTCTTCCCAACCCAACATATTAATAAACTTCCTCATGTGATGTCGCTGCCTTCCAAATTCACCTCACTCAATTTTCCTGCAGACGCAACCCAACCCCACCTACCCACCACCTCACATTTCCAATCTAACCGGCGATATCTGAGTACGACCCTTTTCTGCCTGCTCACAGAGATTTCTTATCGTCGATTTCTTGTGTGGGGAAGAGATTGATTACCAATAAAGTGGTGACCTTTTTCGACATTTCAACGCCACCGCCTTATTTGCCCTTTGGCGTGCCTCATTTATTGAACTCAACTTGCTATGGAAAGGCTGAGATTCACTCTTGTTTTGTGATGGTGGTGGACTTGGCTCCATTGCTTCTCAGAAAAGTGAGTTTCCATCTGGGCTGTTCTTAGTTCTTTTGAATTATATGTGTTTCAGCTCTGCATATGGCGGTTCATATAATCTGTTGCCCTATAGTTATTAGTCATATTTCTGGGGTTAAGTTACCTTATCAGGAAATTAGTTACTTACTTGATCTAGTCAGGAGATCTGTTGCTTCTTTTTGCTTCCACTTTTCTCGTGTCCGTGACAGCTTGGAGGAAGCTCTTGTATTAGATATGGGCTTATGCCTATTTAGAAGTTCATAACCTTATGTTCTTTATGTTTCTCCTCAGTACTGAAAGCTCAAAACTATTCACCAACCAAGTCAGGTCTCCTTTCGTCTTCTTGGGAATTCTCTCTTACTGCGGATAATGTTCTTGTTCTTCCCTTGCTTGTCTAGTTGGCATCAAAAGACACTGGTAGTTAGAGAATCCATCTTGGCACAAGAATATATTGTTCCATCACTTGTCCAAGAACAATCATTTCGTCTATGTTAATAGTTTTTGCACTTGGAGAAGCAAACTTTTCTCGACCTGTGATAAAATTTGTAGGCTTGTTATGTTTCATTCTTAGCCAGCCGTATTGCTTAACTGGTACTCAGGACACTTATCCAAGGAACTTGTAAACTTGGTCAGTTACATTCTGCGGCATATATTTACATAACAGGCTGTTTTGAGTCAGATATACACATTCTGAGCAAGCTATATTCACAGCGACTGTTACTCCGACCACTCATCCTTGTGTATCTTCAAAATGCAGTTCTTTTGAATAAGTTGGGCTGGTGGAAAGGCTGCTGCAATTGTTCAACAGATGGGATTTCGGAATTTCTCATGTATCCTTTCGTTGGCCTTTCTCCTCCATGTGAACGCTGTCCCAGAGATTATGCCTGCGACAGTTGTAGTCGATGCGACTGTTACAGTTGCTGAGACTGACGACAACTATGTTTGTGCTACACTAGATTGGTGGCCTCACGATAAGTGTGACTATAACCATTGCCCATGGGGATACACTTCTGTAGTAAATTTGGTAGGGCTCTGCAATTCATCCTCTTCCAGCTTAATTGACGTAAGAAATTGTAGTAAAAATGACTGCTCAATGTTATTTGTTTTTTCTCATTACAGGATGTCTCTCATCCTCTTCTTGCCAAAGCTATCCAAGGTTTGCATAATATTTCTGATTAAAAAGTGATTTGTATGCTTAAGAGCAACACTATCTGCACTTCTTGTCTGGAAAACTCATTTGACGATCTATGCGCTGTCTGTAGCTTTCAGGCCATTGAGGATAAGAGTAGGAGGCTCGTTGCAAGACCAAGTTCTATATGATGTCGGGAATCTGGGTTCTCCTTGTCATTCTTTTTTCAAAATGAAAGGTGGGCTGTTTGGGTTTTCAAAGGGATGCCTACACATGGACCGATGGGATGCGCTGAACAACTTATTCAGCAAGACAGGGTGAGTTTTGTTGCTTGAATAGACTTCTTTTTATCTTTTGCATGAATTTATAGCATGAGAGTTTCATGACATTGATAAGTCTTGGCTGGATAACAGACAGACCATAATCATCTTTATTTGTTGCAGAGCCATGATCACATTCGGCATAAATGCTCTTCGTGGAAGGCACAAGATCAAGAATAAGGTTTGGGGAGGACCTTGGAATTTTACTAATGCTCATGATTTCATCAGTTATACCATCACAAAAGGATACAAGATAGAAGCATGGGAATTTGGTATGGAACCCTCTGCAAATGTACTATCTTTTATCCTGTTCTCAATGTAATATTATCTTCTAGCTTAGTGTGGGTATTTGAATTTGGATGGCAGGTAACGAGTTGAGTGGAACTGGTGTTGGTGCAAGTGTTAGTGTTGATACGTATGCAAAGGATGTGGTCAAACTTAAAGAAATTGTAGATGAATTATACAATGACTCAAACAAGAAACCTTCGATTATGGCACCTGGAGGTTTCTTCGAGCAGGGCTGGTATGCTAAGCTTCTTAAGGTTACAGGCCCCGGAACACTTAACACAGTGTCTCATCATATGTATAACTTGGGAGCAGGTGGGTCAATGCAAGAAGTCCAAATGCTGTTTGTGGCTGATTGTGCAAATATAAAGAACTGAACTTTCCCGGTATTTTTGTTCTTAAGAGTTCATTATCATCTGTGTTTTCCAGGTGTTGATCACCACCTCATTGAGCATATCCTGGATCCAAATTATTTGAGCAAGGTGTCTAAGACATTCAGCAGCCTGGCACAAACCATTCAACAGAATGGTCCCTGGGCTTCAGCATGGGTTGGAGAATCTGGTGGTGCATTTAACAGCGGTGGTTTTCACATATCTGATACATTTGTAAACAGCTTTTGGTAAGTTCAACTGGCATGGCATGAACTTTTTCTCAAAAGAGTCTAGTTTTTTTTTAAACTTGGTTTCTTGTATCCTCAATTTGTCCTCCTTTTTAGGTACTTGGATCAGCTTGGCATGGCAGCTGCATACGATACTAAAGTCTATTGCAGGCAAACCCTAATAGGTGGACACTATAGTCTGCTCAACACTACAACATTCGTCCCAAATCCTGATTACTACAGGCACGGGTGCCGAAAACTCTTTGATTTCCATTGTAGATTCTGTTAAGTAAAGTGATGGGGAGGATATTTATTCCAAGTTCTAACCATTTCCTTGTGGTCTTGTTTGATGTTTGGTTTGTGACAGTGCCCTTCTCTGGCATCGACTGATGGGGAAAACTGTCCTAGGGGCTACCACTACGGCATCACCTTATCTACGCTATTACGCTCATTGCTCCAAAGGAAGAGTAAGTCTTGTGCTCAGTGTAAAGTCTAAGCTACGCGTTCCAATTTCTCTCGTAAATGATCTGCATCATATAATTAAAGCTTATGTTTGGTGTTAACCTGCAGGCAGGCATTACTTTGTTGCTAATCAACCTGAGCAACAACACAGACTTCATAGTCAAGGTACGAAGCAGCTCCAACTCGAAGCTGAATCTGCAACAAAGTAGTCATGGTGCCAGTTCATTTGTTAATGGCCTCAAGAGATCGATTTCGTGGGTAGGAAGTGAAGCGACAGATGGGTCATTGTTCCGAGAAGAGTACCATCTGAGTCCCAAAGATGGGGACCTTCAAAGCAAAACCATGCTTCTAAATGGGATCCAATTACAACTCACGGAGAAGGGAGACATCCCAAAGCTCGAACCCGTCCGTTCCCGTTTGAGTTCACCACTATATATAAGCTCATTATCCATTTCATTCATAGTGTTGCCTAATTTTGATTCTCCCGCTTGTGCCTAATTCTCTGCACAATGCGGTATTTCTTGGTATTACAATTATTATTTTTAATTTGGTTTAGGGAATGATGTATGGTTCTAGTATTGTACATGATTCTGTTAGAGATTGGTGAGTTGCTGAATTTGTTTTTTAGCCCTTGTCAATTGTAAATTATAGCATGTTAGTCACAGATACAATCAAAGAAGGAAGATCATGTTTGAATGACTTTCAAGGCCTGTTTGAGTGTATGGATATGAAAGGCTTTTGTTTTTTCTTTTTTTTTTTGTGTGGGAATTTGTGGTGCTTGTTATTAGGAGATGCAATGTTTTTTTTCAAATGATGGAACTAGGAGGATTCAAAGCTAAGAGAGCTCCAAAACTTGTAATTAACTAGGGTAGTGGTAAAGTTAGGTTGTTTGCTTACTTGATGCTACACTCGATTTTTGGTTATGCTTGGCTGTTGATTGGGTTGTATAGTTAGAGTCCAACCAACGGGGTCCACATCCAAGAAATCGCCAACGGCGTCCGTGGATTAGGGATGTCAACAAAACCCGAACCCACGGGTACCCACCCGACCCAACCCGGTCAACGCGGGTAAAATCCGTGTTGACGGGTTTTGGGCCGGGTTTGGGTTTAAACCCGTTCACTATTCACCGGGTTGGGTTGGGTTTGGGTTTAGGTAAATCCGGCCCGTGGGTACCCTCCCACTCATATAATTAATTTTTTCGGTATATTTAATATTCTAAACAACTATTCTTATTTATGTTTGTGGAGACATGTCTAATTTTTTCTTTTTAATTGTGTAGAATGAAGTTGATGTTATGGAGTGGAGACTAAAGAAACTTAATTGAAAGAAAGAAGCTTTCAATTAAACATGTTATTTATGGATAATTTGTGATTTGCTTCAATTTTCATGAGTTTTCTAGATTGGTGTTGAACAATTTGTATAGTTAATTTGTGATTTGCTTGAATTTTCTAGAATGGTGTTTTATATATGGATAATTTATATTGAGAGATTGATATTTGACTTTAATTTTGATAAGAACTTGTAATTGTAAATTTTTTACGACAAAACCCGTGGGTACCCATGAACCCGCGGATACCCAACGGGTTGGGTTGGGTTTGAGTTTTTCAAACCCGGTGGGTTTTACCCCTGGTTTTTTTCAAAGATAAACCCATGGGTTTGGGTTTGGGTTTGGCAAAACCCGACCCATTGCCATCCCTACCGTGGATCCTTCCTGAGTTCCTGACTAAGCTTACCGCGGGATAGAAGGTGATGGCGAGGGCATTTTCTGGAGGAACTTAAATCAAGAACAAAGAATGCTAAGGATCGCTGTGAGGAAGATCCGATAGGTGATGTTGATTAGATATACGAATTGGAGAAACCTCCGGCGGTTTCGATGATTCTTTTGAGTTCTGTGAGATCCGTCACTAGAAAGATGGTCCGCCGCTGGTAGATCCACCGCTGGAGGCCAGGATGACATAACGATTTGGATTGGAAGGGGCAGAGTCACTATCAGAGAAGAGAGGAGCGGACGAAAAAAGAGTTGGAGATAGAAAGAGGCGAACATGGAGTTGTAGGGTTTTTGGCGATGTGGGGGACTATTTTAATTTTTCAAAATGACCAGCGTGCCCTTCCTTTGTAAATCAATAGTTAATTATGGTCAATCTTTAAAAATAAATAAGTTATTTAAACGAAATATTTCTATTGTTTGGAGCTAGTGTTAGCACCATTCTAAAGAAAAACGTTGGCGGCTATTTGCCGACAACATAATTACTAGTAGCCGCCAAAATTCAATAATATATTTTTACAAAATCCTACATTCGCAAACATAATTGCTGGGCAGAAAAAGTTTCAGTGTTGGTCGGAATCACGACGGTCCGCCGAAAATTTTCGGCCCGACCAACCTTCAGACGCCGGTTTGGAATTATAAGTTTAGGGTGGTTTGAATTAGGGTATAGAGTTTGAAAGTTACTTCGATGAGTTTTTCGACGACTTTTCGGAAAGCGTTTGTTTTTATAATTGTTAAGTTTTTTGGAAGTTGGGGGAGTTTAATATTCGTTATAAGTTGTGAAAAAATCATTTTCAAAAGTCATATATAAACAGAATTTAACTAATAATATATTAAAAATGTTCACGGAAATAGTAATTGAGTTAGCGGCGCCGACAAATATCAATGCCTAAAAAATGTGTTAATAGATTAGTGAGGAACAAAGCTAAACTTGTTCTAAAAAACTTGTGGGATTTTGAATTGTTTGTTGACACGAACAAAGTCAAAGAAAACCAGAAATATATACGATTGATCATTGGAATTTATTGAGACGGATTATTGATCAAAATCGGTTATGAGGTTGAGCGTGTACCAGACACGCACAAGAAGAATAACTGATGATCAAAATCAGGAAATTTTTTAAAATGATTTAAAGCATTGGTGCTTTAGTTTTTGCCTTTATGATACAATTTGAAGTTGTACCTTTAACTTTATGGTACAAACTAGTGTTGTTAAAATCGAACCGGACGTCAATCCGGAATAACAAGAGGTTCAAAGTTTATTGAATAACCGTTATTTAAAACCGGTCATAAATCGGTGGTTGGCTCTATATAAGAGGAAAGAAAAATAGAGTAACAATATAAAAAATAGTCGAATATGAAAAGAGAGAGAGATTAAATGGCCCTAGGTAGCTGCCACTTTTCATCTTTCCCGTTGCTTTGCTTCCATTTTTTATTTATTAATTTCAAGAATGTAAAATGGTAAGCGGCATTTTACTTTCATTCAGCCTGCCCATTTTATGACTTCCGGGATCAGACTTATGTTTGGGTCCAGGTTTTCCCGGTCCAACCTACCGGTTCGGGCCGATTTTCATAACAGTGGCACAAAATAAAGTTGTACATTTATGCTAAGGTTATCCCACAACTTAAAAGTTAAATTCTTTTATGTACAACTTTAATTTGTACATTTAAAACATAATAGAAGTACTCCAAAATTCGATGTACTAAATAATAATTTACTCAAACTAGGTACTAACTTGTAATTAGCTCTAACAGCCTGTTTGGATTGACAAAAAAGTAAGGAATTGGAATTCCATTTCCATATATTATGTTTGGAATAATAAAAAGGTTGAGAATTGAATTCCAATGGGTCTAAAATATGGAAATTACAATTCCTATCAAAAGTGATAGGAATTGAGAGAATGAAGATGGAATTAGTGGGACCCATCAATACTTTTTATTATTTTGTTGACCCACTATCATTTTACTCTCTTTCTCTCTCATTCATATTTCATTTCCCAAAATAAAACAAACATATTACATTATTCATTATGGTTAAAAGTGCAATTCATTTCCATAGTTGTAGGAATTATACCAAACACTAGAATTGGAAATGGAATTCTATAAAAATAAAAAATTGAATTCCATTTCAATTTCCATTTCTTCCGGAATTGTATCCAAACAGGCTGTAAATAATGGTAGTAAATACCGAATCCTAGGCAAAGAAGATCATTACCGGTATCCAGAAGGAAAAGAGCAAAATTTCTGGACTTTCCATTCCATCCAAACGTGGAAAACAGCGAGGCGTGACAGAAACCAGAAATGGCGTCGACCAGCGTTTCGAAGGGCCAAATCCTCTCCCTCTACCGTTCCTTCCTCCGGACAGCTCGCCAGTTCAGGGACTACAACATTCGGGAGTACACCAAGCGACGGACGGTGGATGGCTTCCGGCAGAACAGGGGTTTAACCGACCCGTCTTCAATCTCCGCCGCGTTCTCCGAAGCGAAATCCCAGCTCGATGTTGCCAAGAGACAGGCCGTCGTGTACTCGCTCTATGCCCCCGATATCAGAAGCGTTATGGAGACCGACTTGAAAGGCAAGCGCTGAAGACGACTTGTGTTTTCTATTCTCTTCCCCGGCTTTCCATGAGAATTACTTCTTGTCGAATGATTATATTGCAGCGTTTTGTTTCTTCACGTTTCTACCTGGATTGGGATTTTGTAGTTTCGACATTGCTAGTGCCTGTGGTTCTAAGTGGTTAATTTAATGGAAGAATAATCAAGAATTATGAATTTTATGACCAGACATCAAGATATTAGGGTTTTCTTTCTGAGTTCAAGTTCGGTGTTTTTAGAAGATTTCAGTTTGATTTGGATGATCTGTAGATAGGATTCAAATTTGAGTTCCTGGTGGATGGTAACATACTTGTTTCTTAGATAGTTGTCCTCAACACTTCCTAACGCGGTACCTTTTGCAGTGATTGTGGAACAAACTTGAGACGGCTTCAGATTGTTGGGCATTAGTACAGCTGTGGTGTGGAACGCAGCAAAAATAACAAGTTTGTTTCTTGAGTGATTATTGTGTTGTGCTCATGGGTTCAAGTAGTGTCTAGAAGTTGATTGTCCAATGGAATGTGTAATTTCCATTTCCTACTTAGATGACCTCATCGGAGTGGCGTGCACTATGTGCTGTTGTGATGAGGATTGATATTTGCTAATATGTTGAAGCATATATGAATAATATGTACCCTGGTGACGAACCCTGTTCCTTGTGCTTGTGTTATTGAAAACAAATTAGTCCTCCATCGTTAGTGCTTATGTTCATAAGAATAAGCTCTATTCAATGTGAACAAAGGTTTAGTCTCGCAATAGCTGCTTCTATGATATTTGCTAATATGTTGAAGCATGTGTGAATAATATGTACCCTGGTGACGAACCCTGTTCCTTGTGCTTGTGTAATTGAAAACAAATTAGTCCTCCATCCTTAGTGCTTATGTTCATAAGAATAAGCTCTATTCAATGTGAACAAAGGTTTAGTCTCGCAATAGCTGCTTCTATGATAATGGCTTCCAAGAAGATTATGGTTCCACATTCATAAGATATTGTGAGTGACTGCTCCATCGACTAGGATTTTACTTTTCCCCAGTTTTTGTTGACTGGCTGGTTTGACTAACGATTTTAATGGTCCATGAGGTGGAAGAGAAGGTGGCACATGCAGTGATTTTTATGATACTTATGTGTTGTGTAACAGCAGTCATCATACTATGGTTCATTGAGTCCAGTGACTCGGCTTCCAGTATGGACTTTGGAGTGTGTTCTTGGTACTGTTCTGGTTCAAGCATCTTTGGACAGCAACGGAACCATCACTTCAGATTTCAACTGGTCATTAGGTTGGTCCCTAAGGAACTGAAATTAAATTACGAAAGAAGTTCTGCTGCTATCATGTAAAGTTGCACTGACATGCTTTTAGGTTGTCTTTTTATATTTTTGGGGCCAACTGAATGGTTGGTTGAAGAGCCATAAATTTTGTGCCTCTATATTTGATCTTTTGAGGTGAAGTAATTGTTGGTAATCTAATACATTGAGAGCATTTGTACATGCTAAATTGGTAGCCCATTGTACCATGAGCGGATCCTTGCAGATCCCACCATTTTCCTATCTCCTAATAGCTACTTAAAACCAAATGCAGAAGCATGAATATTTGAATGGGGCTTCGAGTGAAAAACTTTAAAGTTCTATGATGGTGTGGATAAAGCACTGATGCCCTTATGATAGTTATTTGCTCTCTGATCAGATTTGTTTGAAGGAGCAAGCTTTTCTGTGAAGCCTTTGACCAGTCATTTCTTGATTAATGATCTTACAAAGATTTGAATACTGGTATTTGTTTGTTGGATCTTAATATTCACTTACAGGGATTCACTGTCATTTAATCATTCACAAGGGTGTGTTTGATTGATGGTAGGTCACAGCAAAGCTAGTTATTTCCATTTCATGTTTCTCTATGTCGATTGTTTTCTTTCTTGTCCTTCTTTCAGTTAATTGATTGACACCTTTTATCGATGAAAAATCATCGCAGTTGACTAATCATCTAGTTCTTATCCTTGTTCTGTGTCAAGAGATTTATTCTACATGTGCTTCCAATTCTTATTAGTTGTATTTTGTCAAATTCCAATTAGTCCTGTTCCAGCAGATGGTGCTCTAAGACTGAAGTGCTTCCAAAACCCAGGTGCTCTAGATTATGAAAGCCATTTATGGTTGATGGCTTAAATTGAAATGCTTTACGGAATGGGTTGAAAATGGGCCTGTGATCAGAACATTACTGACCACCTGTTGGCGAGTTTCTCTTAGAAAGTGACCCAGTTGTTCCCCCTCCAACGGAGCATGGAGAGTTGGAAGGCAAAAGGCTGAAGATATGGAAGGCAAGTAAGAATTCTCATTGCCCTTTTGTAAAACTGTAGCATTTTCTCTTCATTACCTGCTTTGAATGGTTGGAACAGTTGTTATAACCTTGGAGGCATAGCAGAATCCGGAAAAGGGACAGGGGGACCAGAAGCAAATTGGGTGAAAAAAGGGAGAGAGAGACCCATACCAGAATATTAATTGATATACAATTTAAGGCAGAGCTGTGAGGAATGCAGGTTTCTGCTCTACATGGCATCAGCAATAGAAAGGTCACAATGCTTTTCTCCAAGAAAAGCTGATCACATTTAAACCCTATGTCCCCCCCTCCCCTTCTAACCTTTTAATTTAATGCTTTCTGATCTCCACAATCCCTGCCTACTACTACTACTGCTAAAAACCCAGTAAGTACTTGCCAAACAAAAACAAAAAAACTCTTGTCTAAAACCTCCTCCCCTTAGCCTATCTTTGCATCTTCCTGGACTCGAACACGAATATATGAGTACTGTGTCGGGACCTACCATTGAATATCAGAGGAGAGAAGGGCCAGAGAGAAAAGGTGATTTAGTGATGGGGGGTTGTTCTTCTTCAGTTGTGAAGAGGATTGGGCCCTGTTGGGACAAGTCTCTTGTCAGCTGCAAAACTTGATGATGGTTGTTTCTCACCCTCGGATTGAATTGCTGCTGTTGGTTGTTGTGCATTGTGAATTTGGTGGTATCTTTGCATTGGAATGACGTAATATTTGTGCAGTCCCCATGAGCTGCCTCCTTGCCCGGGCCGGTGGCCTTGCTGGTGATGTTGATCCATTGCTTCTTTAGAGACTCCGTTGCCATTGCGTGATGATGAACACTGAGCTCTTGGCAGGAGCAGGAGTAAAAATAGTGCCACAACAATGTTTTGGCTGAAGGCAGTCATGAAAGTAGGAGACTTTCTCGTGTATGATTATGAGTTGAAGAAGTGAGTGAGAGAGAATTGACAGTTTGGGGGGAGGAGGTTATGTTTGTGATGGTCTGAAGCTACCAACTATATGAACAAAGATACCCCTTGTATTTATATAGGAGTAGCTGCACTGTTTCGATATATTACATGCCTTGTGTTGTGTGTGTCAAAGAAACATGAGTCAAGATGAGTGAGAGAGAGAGAGAGAGAGAGAAGAAACGAAACACTGGACAGGAGGGAACAGAACAGGGGAGATAGAGAAACACAAAAGGTGGTAGTGGTTAATTTTTGGAAAGCTCTTGTTTGGTTGGTTTAAAAGCAATGAAAAAAGAGGATTTTGAGAGAAGGTTAAAAAATGAAAACAGAGAGAGAGAGAGAGAGAGAGAGAGAGAGAGAGATAGAAGGTGTTATTACTTATTAGATGCAATCCCTGCTAGGTACAGGTTGCTGGAGGAGCGTAAAACAGCATTTACTTCTACGCAGTTGGGGAAAAGTAAGCAATGGCTCTTACCTCATTGAATTGATGTGGAGGTGGATAGGGAGAAGGAATGTCATTGGGGTTTTTGAATTGCATATTATTGTTTAGTGCAATGGGGAAGGCCAATGCTTCGTTTCTTCTGAAAGAAAGATTAGACAGCCCAATCTAACACAATGATTAACAAATTATGACTTTGCGTATTCCCAACAGCATTTCTCTATTCTTTTGGAATCTATTTGTTCTTCTGCCTACCTTCTCTTGTATCCCTACAAACTTTATGGATTTCGTATGTCATTGGATTAGTCGCTGTTTTTTGTGATGGATTTTGATAGAAACCTGAATTTCAGGGTTTCTAATTACTACTAGGGATTGTTTGGATTAGAAATTTGATTATGAGGGATTTAAGAAGGATTTGGACACAAATTCCCTACTTAAAAAACCAGAGATTTAAAATTAGGAATTTGACCCAAATATTATGTTTGTTTACAGATTAGTAATTTAGGCCCAATATGTTCAAAGACAAATCTGCCCCTATCCCTGTCCCTGTCCCTGTCCTTGCCCCTGCCTCTTCTTCTTCTCCCCAAATTGGCATTCTGTCTTCTCCCAAATCCGCGTTCGTCGTCTCCCCATCGATTCTCGTCTTCCTCATCTCCCTCTTCCCCCGCTTGTCTCCCATCGACGATACAGAACCCACCAATCGTCTTCTAGTAACGAGAAGGAGGAACGCCACGCCTAAGTCGGAGATGTTCGCTGGGTTCGTTGGCAGCAAGGCAACCGCTTCCATTAATCGTTGTTGTTCTGCTATCGACCGACGCGAACCGCTACTCCCACGCAAAGCCCTTTCAAGGCGGTCGCCGACTCGAATTCAGATTCAAATCGGCGATTATCTCCCTTTCTCTCGGTCATTGATTTCCAGATCCGAGCCTTCGCCGACAAAACATTCGTTTCTTTCCAGATTCGTCGGAGCCAGAAGATGGCAATGGCGAGGGCGACTCTGCTAGGTCGACGAGCCTTTGGGATGGACGACTTTGACTGGAGATTTTGGTCGGAGAGATGAGGAGATGACGTCGGTGGTGGTGTAGTGGGTACTGGAGGGGCAATGGTTGGCAAAACAAAAAAAAAAACCCAGAGATTTTGAAATAGCTGGGTTCTATTAGCTATTTTGAAATTCCTAAATGGCAGAATTTCAAAATTCTTAGTGTTCAAAATCTCTCAATGTTTGGAGTCTTTTCAAACGCATAAATTGGATGAAATTCGGGAAGGGCAGGGATTGTGGCCAAATTCCTCTACAA